AAAAAAGTGCGTACTATATTCGGGAATTTACGGCGTATTTCTTGTAATTCGGTACAACGCGACGCCATATTTTACAAAAGTTTTTCGGTGGCCCTTCCCCCCAGGCCGATTTTTTTTCGATGGCCTCCCCCGGCTCAAAATTTTTTCCATGGCCCTCCCCCCAGGCCAAATATTTTCAATGGCCCTCCCCCCAGTGCACCAGCCCTCCCCCCCCGGTAAATATCGTACAGTCCCTTAGCCGTTTTCCTTCGGCAGCCAAGAGCCCTTCGCCCGCCTATCTAAATTACCACTATCCCTCGTTGCTCAACTCCCCCGTAGCGGGCGAAGGGCTCCTGGCTGCCGAAGAAAAACGGCTAACGGCCCGATACTAGTCTGGCACGCAGGGTACTGTGATGTTACATACCGACTGCGCGGGGAATCCTCTACACCCCACTTCAATGGGGAACCGCCATGCTAACGCGTTGCTCTCCTTTTCCCAGCTTCAACGAGACCCCTGCGTCCACTACTGACAACATGCCCACCTCGTCAAGTAACGCCGTCCTGACCAAAAAGCTGGGCCGGAGCGGGCCCAGGGACCCCGAGGCCGGGCAAAGCCGGGACTCCGCCAGGGGGGACGACGACGATGGACGCGGTCGCCACGGGGACGGGTACGGCTCGGACAGAGACGGGAGGAGCGGTCGCTGGGCTAAAGGCAGGGTACGGACAGTTTGTCATGTTTGTTTGTCTTTTTGTCTGTTTGTCTGTCTGTCTGTCTGTCTGTCTGTCTGCCTGCCTGTCTGTCTGTCTGCCTGTCTGTCTGTCTGTCTGTTTGCTTGCTTGCTTGTTTGTGTCCTTATGTGATCATGCATGTACTCAAACGGGCACGGTTCGGAAGGGCGGTCGCTGGGCTAAAGGCAGGTGTTTGTTTGTTTTTGTTTGTTTGTTTGTGTCCTTATGTGATCAGGAATGTACTCAAATCAACCTACAGGTCACTTTTCATTGAGGCCATGCACGAGGAACAATATTACAGAGAAGCTCAATCACTCACTGAACGAACGAACGAACGGACTACCTTTTTTTTCCGTACAGGGCCGCGGTCGCGGGAGGCACTCTGGTTGGTGGGTGAGCTCGAGCCGGAGCTCGGGGACCAACAGGTGTCACAGCACGTTCTGCCCCTGCAGCCCCCGGTCTCTCATCTGGTTCTTCATCGGGCTGCTGCTGGGGCTGCTCATCATGGGGCTCATCCTCGGACTCTGCATAGCGCTGAACGCTTTCAGTATGTTTGGTTTTATCTTATCATCCTTACCGAAGAAAAAGATATTGTTTTTCCTCTGTTTCTTCCCACGTCTTGTTCTTTTTCCGTTCCAAACAAATACTAGTAAGGTCAATGGCCTGAACCAGACATCTGTCACCATGGTAACTTGTGTTGGGTTACATCATGTTGCAATTTTATAGCATGAGGGATTTAGACTCCTGTCACCATGGCCATATATATAAATGTGTTTAAGTAAGAATTAACAGGGACGTATAGCAAGCCATATGCGAAGGTAAACATTATGCATTTGCTTTGCAAATGTTATTTCACATAACTAGTTTCTGAGGATTTAACAAAAGTAATGTGTGTGCATGCGTGCGCGCTCCTGTTTGTGTGTGTGTGTGTGTGTGTGTGTGTGTTCGATGCTTGCGTTTTCTCTACTTTTTACCCATCCCAATTCCTTGTACATAATGCTGTGCACATGTGATGTGACGGCAAAAACATGAGCGGCCACCGATACATACGCACATGTGACAGTAATATCTCTCTTGTCCGCAGACTTTGTAGAAGAGGTAGAAGTCATCTGTATCCCGAACAGTACCACCATCGACTACACTACAGTCAGCGGCCCAATCACCACTACCTAACAACCTTCCAAAAGTTGAGAACTGAGACAAAATGCGAAACATAGGAGAAAGGCGCTAGTGAAAGTAATACACACATTCCTTCATTCTAGATCTATTCACAGACTACATGATATTATCAAGAAGTGATCTTTTATCCAAACACCACGACCCCATGCCCTTATACTAACTCTACGACCTTGGAACTTTTGACCAATGGCACACCAGTTCATACCGCAGCAAAACGTAAAGGGTGCTTAAATGTGAGAATATTTCGCCTTCGTTACTGTTCAAAGGAAGTGTTTTGTAGAACGACCTTAGAGGTCACTAAAGTTGATCAGATTATGCATAGCTGTGTCTTGATTACTGTATCAGATTTCATTTGGGGAATGATTTGTTTAGTCTACATGTAGGCTTAAGGGAATGTAGACCTATGCAGTCAAGCATAATTTGTCGCTTTTCTGTAACTCTATCGTATTTTGAATAAGTCTTATACCTACAAGGAATTGTATCAATAACTCGCATATATATAGCACTCTACTATTGTACATAAATAAATTAAGCTGAATTATCAAATCTTTATTTCAAAAAATGATAGTTTTTGCGTTTGTAATGTTGCCTAGTGTATTGCAGAGGCAGTTATTTTTATTAATATATATTTTGATCATATTTTGCCTTGATTATAGTCTAAGAAAATATTGATGGACCTGAGTAATTTCGAAAATGCTACTTGTAAAAACGTGTAACGTATTTTACAGTATTTCTCTTTGTGTGTGTATGCAGTGCGTTGCGCATTCCGCCTGTAAACTGTCTTCTGGCACTTTACTTTGTTTCTTTATATCTGTAAGATTACAATGCTTGCAAACTTTGTTGTGTTGCAACAGTATACGTTTATTATAATCACAATGTAAACAAGAAAGAATTAACCCAATGTCCTGCTTGTTACCTTGATCTGTGATGTGGTTGAGACAGAATAAAGAGTTCTTATTACTACAGAAAAAATCGGCCTGCTGTGTCTTTATTACCAATGCCTTTCAATAACGATGATGAGCTAAATGCAGTGAAAAGACTACACAAGAGGCTAGAAGTAAAAATATCATTGCCTGTAGTGTTGATACTGACACAAAACTATGCATATAGATCTATGTTATCACTGAATCTATAATAGCATACATGTTATCCCTAGATTTATTGTTCACAAAACAGCAAAACATACTCTTTCTTCCGCTGATTCACTCAGTTTTGACACATGTATTCATTTTTGACTGTTAAGAAAGGGGAACTTATTATACATCGCTCCATATTTGCAGCCTTGTATCATGTGTATGGAATTATACAGATTCTGAGTTCCTATATCAGTAAAATGCCACAGCTGAAGTCAGTATCATGCATCTAGAATCCACTAGGGAATACGGGTCGTAGAATTCGGCAAAGAAGAGAGTAAAATTGTCCAGGGGAGTCCGGCCACGGAAGGTTGTTTCTTTCCCACTAGTCAAACCCCAAGGCGGCCAAACTCCCATGACAAATATTCTCCTATATGTAGCCAGCGTAGGATAGTCTCTAGTACGAGCGTCTGGTAGAGACTATCCTGCATCAGCCCTTGCTGTATACCTTTCCCACAAGTTCCACCTAGCGTTTGTTAACTGAACAGCAGATAGCTATAGCTTGTATGGCGCGCGTGGAGTCCGGGGGTTTATGAGCGATGCAGGCCATGTCCACTGGTCGGGCCCCGAGTATGGGGGCGCCCTCAGAACCTCTGGCGCTGCATCCGGTGAGAACGGAACCGTCAGGACAGCTTGCAACAACCTGGTAAACAAACAAACAAACAAACAAATTTATTTACAAACAGAAGTCCGCATATTACTATATACACTTTAACCTGTTCTCCAACTTAAAGAATTACTTTTAAAAGTACCCACTGAAATGTGCTTAAGTGGTGTTGTTCATGTGTGACGTCAGCAATGGGTCAAAGTTGGTTGGAAGTCGATATCGCCCCCCCCCATCACGGTTGAAGGAAAGTTGGTACTCCCTGGTGTAATTCTTTCAGTTGGAGAACTTAAAGTTTCTCATAATCTATTTACTCTACATAATTTATTATACCAAATAAGATTAACTTACATGCATGTATTATTATACTACTTTAATGGAGTTTTGCCGAACAAGGCTAACATGCCAATGATGCAGAGGCGGGTTTTCGTTCTTACTTCATCGTCCAGAGAAAGCTGTGAGTCGACTTTCCAGCAGTCCATATGGTCCCCTCGGCAACAGAAGACGTGTGCTTCGGGGCTCTTCCCTTGGGCAAGACACTCTTTTTTCTGAGCACGTATGTGCCGCACCACACTGCCCTCCGCAGATGCACTGCAGCCTGAGATTCAGCGGGGAAGGAACAGAAGTTGGAGATACATTTTGCATTTGGCACGCAGCCCCCTCTTTCATTTTCATTTCATTTTTATTTATCCATCCACTATATCGCCATGTTGGCGGTTTTTGCTGTCTGTTGGTGTTTGGTTATATAAATTGTGTTTGGTTATATAATTACGATATTTCATAATTTTATGCTAGTAGAACTGGCATAGCTCTATACATGTCCTATATGCCAAAAATGTGAAATGTTGTGGGATCACTGACATTATACTCACCAATCTTATCATAGCTACCTCTTCCCTGTCTTAAGCCTGGGTGCCACAGCCTGGGTGCCATCTGGGGTTGCTGTATTAGTTCTAACATTAGTTGGATGACACCCAGGCTACTTCCTTTTTGTCTTCAACCGAAGATTTGTGTCTTAGCTGAGTTACTAACCTGTTAGGACATCTCGGGGGTTTTGGTCACACTTGGCGAGGGTCCTGATGGCGTTTTTGTTCGATGACTTCTGTGTCTTGAAGTAGCATTTGGGATTGCCTGGTAATGCGCAACAGCGCGCAAGCGCATAGACACTGGATCCGACCTTCCCGTTCCGAGCGACACAAATCGGTTTGCCGTTCGGGATGTCCTGAAAACAAAATGGAGGAGAGAAGACACGGATTGTCAATGTAATATATATTTCAAGTCAATTCAAGTAGATTTGCAAAAATCCTAAGATCTGGACTTGTTAGGTGTCCAGATCTTGACAGATGTCAGATCCCCCCCCCCACATAAAAGGCTAGGGGCGGTGTTTTTTATAAATCTCCAAGCAGATCATACGTACGGTGGTATTTAAAGGCAGTATCCATTGACCAGTGGAGTGTCCATTAGCCAATGCATACTGTCTGGCTAATGGATACTGCCTGGCCAAGTTGATACTGTCTTTTGCAGCCACCGAAAGATCTGCTCTAAACTGGTTTAAATTTAAAAGTAACTTCCCTCAATGTTATTTTTGGAGACATGTCCAAAGAAGCAAAACCGTTAATAAATTTGATCATTTTATTGGGTAAGCTCTTTATATTTCAATCCAGGACATCCAAAATTCTGAATTTCGAGTACTTTAAAAACTAGTAATTTTTAATCAAAAAACAGAATACTTGATTGCGTCTCGGAGAGGGAAGCTGGAGAGGCATCGGGGTAAGTGGGGTACTTTCTGTCTATAGTGTATTTCTATGTATTAATTTTACTTTATGTATTAGATTTTAGGGAGGCGCTATGTTTATGTTTATGTCAATTGTTTGCGTGAAAATGAATAAGAAAAAAGACCACGAAAAAAAAAGAAAAAAAAAGATCTGCTCGGAGTTTGGAAACTGAAAACACAACATTTGTCTGGCTCTTACCTGTGGGAACTCGCCGGTATGGACGCCGTCTGCGACAGAGGAGCAGCTCAGCAGTGTCTCGTTCACGTTACAAGCCGCGGCGGCAACAGAGCCTTCCTCCCGGTCTGATTTTAGCGACCACACCGTTCTACAAGCCGCAGTTTCTATTGTAACAGAAACAACAGGAATACCAACCTGTTGGTCATAGGTTGTAAAGTCTGGACATACAGCAAGGATATGTATACATGTGTGTGTGTGTGAAATGTGTGTGTGTGTGTGTGTGTGAAATGTGTGCGTGTGTGTGTGTGTCTGTGTGTGTGTGTGTGATTAGCAAAACTAGAGGTCGGAGATCTCATGCCTTCGTCAGAGGGACATTGTTCTAGATAAAGGAACATTTTTTAATACTAGAAATCAATTTGGTCTAGAGTACAAAAGAATCTCTATACTCCTTTTTTTCCTTTTTTTTATTCTACGACAGTGTCGCAAAATGTAATGAGAAGATGTGATGAAAGGAAAGATCAGAACAGGGGGGGTTATTGCTGTTTTCGTTTGTTGTTACACTATGTTCTTTTATTCAATTTGCATCCTAACCTTTGTATTTCAATTTGCATCCTAACCTTTGTATTTGTTCTTTTATTCAATTTGCATCCTAACCTTTGTATTTGTTCTTTTATTCAATTTGCACCCTAACCTTTGTATTTCCATTTAGTTGGCCATTTTCCATCAGGTTGGCCTTCATGTATTTTATCGCGCTTTTGCAATAAATCTAAGGTCTCCAGTGGACGTCATCCATCAAAATTACTTGGTCTGGCCTTACAATTTAAGGAATGACCTGCCTGACGCATGTCCACCTTTTTCCTCCCCCGCCCCTCAATTGTAAGCAACTGATACCAGATGCTGGGACAGCTGTCCCCCATGTGAATCAATGCAGAGGTTGGTGGGAGTACTAGTAGTTCATTATACATCTAACACAAAAGGTCCACTGCAGCGACATAGGACCCCCACGAGACCCGTTTTAGAACTTGACCTTGGCCTCTACAATGGTAGGTTGCCTACCAAAAATCATGAACATCTGTTTAAATATACTAGAGTTATTTTGCTCACAAGCCACAAACACAAAAAAGTCCACTGCAGTGACGTACGGACCCCCCACGAAGCCCAAACTTGCACTTGACATTGGCCTCCACAACGGTAATCTGCCTGCCAAAAATCATGGACGTCGAATAATGCCTTCAAGAGTTATTCCGCTAAATCCGAAGACATAAAACAATGATATAGGTTAAGTCTTTATTATTTCTTGTATTTCACACTGTATTTGAAATTATGTGCCCTGTGTGTTTATATGTTGACTCTCTAATATCAGCTTTGCTGCCTTGAGAGTCAGTGTAATATCTTGTTGCAATAAATGAATAAACATTTAAGTACTGCCCGCAGTTACATGCATGTAGTGACAACATGTTTATATGGGTCCTACATATGAGCTTAGGATTTACCTTTAGCCTTTAACCTTCAAACACCATTCAAATATGGTCACTGTATGTTGCCTTCTTGCTCATTGACTGACTTTTAAAAGCTAAAAGATCTATCAATCAGTATGTAGATTAAGTCAGAAACCTTCGAATGCTGTGCCTAAATCCTAAATCCACGCGATGTAGCATGAGGGCCTGCAAGCCCTTTTTCGTAAGGCGTAATCCGGCCGTTTTAGACTTCGTAATTCGTAGGCAGCCTCCTCAAAAATCAACGTAATTCGTAATTGGACATCACCCGCAAATCGTAAA